GTAACTCGCCAACCGGTTCCTCCCCTCCCCTCCCTTCCCCTCCCCTCCCCTCTCTCTCTCTCACACTCTCCCCCCTTTTCCTCTTTGCTGGACCTTCTTACCTGGATTATCTTTTTTTTTTACCTGTTCGGCCCTTTTACCCGTGTGAACGTCATGTCAAGCTTTCCATATTTTAGAGGAGAGAATGGTCACATGTGAGCCATGGGGGGGGGGGCGCGCCCGGGGGTGGGGGGTGATGGGGGTGAGGCTGGGGTTGATGGGGTGAGGCTGGGGTTGATGGGGTGAGGCTGGGGTTGATGGGGTGAGGCTGGGGTTGATAGGGGTGAGGCTGGGGTTGATGGGGTGAGGCTGGGGTTGATGGGGGTGAGGCTGGGGTTGATGGGGGTGAGGCTGGGGTTGATGGGGGTGAGGCTGGAGTTGATGGGGGTGAGGCTGGGGTTGAGGCTGGGGTTGATGGGGTGAGGCTGGGGTTGATGGGGGTGAGGCTGGGGTTGATGGGGGTGAGGCTGGGGTTGATGGGGTGAGGCTGGGGTTGATGGGGTGAGGCTGGGGTTGATGGGGGTGAGGCTGGGGTTGATGGGGGTGAGGCTGGGGTTGATGGGGGTGAGGCTGGGGTTGATGGGGGTGAGGCTGGGGTTGATGGGGGTGAGGCTGGGGTTGATGGGGGTGAGGCTGGGGTTGATAGGGGTGAGGCTGGGGTTGATGGGGGTGAGGCTGGGGTTGATGGGGGTGAGGCTGGGGTTGATGGGGGTGAGGCTGGGGTTGATGGGATGAGGCTGGGGTTGATGGGGTGAGGCTGGGGTTGATGGGGTGAGGCTGGGGTTGATGGGGTGAGGCTGGGGTTGATGGGGTGAGGCTGGGGTTGATGGGGTGAGGCTGGGGTTGATGGGGTGAGGCTGGGGTTGATGGGGATGAGGCTGGGGTTGATGGGGGTGAGGCTGGGGTTAATGGGGTGAGGCTGGGGTTGATGGGGTGAGGCTGGGGTTGATGGGGTGAGGCTGGGGTTGATGGGGGTGAGGCTGGGGTTGATGGGGGTGAGGCTGGGGTTGATGGGGGTGAGGCTGGGGTTGATGGGGGTGAGGTTGGGGTTCATGGGGTGAGGCTGGGGTTGATGGGGTGAGGCTGGGGTTGATGGGGGTGAGGCTGGGGTTGATGGGGGTGAGGCTGGGGTTGATGGGGTGAGGCTGGGGTTGATGGGGTGAGGCTGGGGTTGATGGGGTGAGGCTGGGGTTGATGGGGGTGAGGCTGGGGTTGATGGGGGTGAGGCTGGGGTTGATGGGGGTGAGGCTGGGGTTGATGGGGGTGAGGCTGGGGTTGATGGGGGTGAGGCTGGGGTTGATGGGGGTGAGGCTGGGGTTGATGGGGGTGAGGCTGGGGTTGATGGGGTGAGACTGGGGTTGATGGGGTGAGGCTGGGGTTGATGGGGTGAGGCTGGGGTTGATGGGGTGAGGCTGGGGTTGATGGGGTGAGGCTGGGGTTAATGTGGGTGAGGCTGGGGTTAATGGGGTGAGGCTGGGGTTAATGGGGTGAGGCTGGGGTTAATGGGGTGAGGCTGGGGTTAATGGGGTGAGGCTGGGGTTGACAGGGGGAGGGGAAGAGGACGGAACGAGTGAAGGGATAGGGAGACGGAAGATAAAGGGTAGTAAGGAATTGAAGAGGAAAGGGAAAAAGGGAATAGGAAGAAGCATAAGAATAGTGAGGGGGGGGGGGAACAGAGAAAATGTATGACGAAATGTTGGAGAGAGAGAGAGATTGAGAGAGAGAGAGAGAGGCAGAGAGAGAGGCAGAGAGAGAGGCAGAGATAGAGAGAGAGACAGAGAGCCACCTACGTGGGGGGGGGGGCAGAAACATTCAGTATGCACACACCTTAAACTGAACCGAACACACAATAAACATCTCCACTATACACTACACTATATTCACTATAGAGACTGTCAACAGGAGTAAAATCAAATTGTTCACCAAAATATCAATATTATAAATCACATAAAAAATTACTATTAATACCTTTTAAGATCGACTACTGTATCAAAATACCGAGAATTTAAGGGAACTGCTTCAATGGGTACAAGATACCGAGACCAGTGGTGGTGTGAGGGGCGAGCCGTCCCTGGGTACTGTGGCCAGGGGTGGGGAGGAGAAAAGCGGCCAGCCTCGCCCCACAACTGCCCGCCCCGACACATTACCGCTATTCAACTATTCCTTTGGTGACACGGGCCTTCTCCTCACATAGGACCGACAGTGTCTCTAGCTCTGGGGACCCGACCCGGCCCCTTCTCTCTCACGCACACACACGCACACGCTCACTCTCTCACACGCGCATGCACGCCCGCGAACACGTTTGTGCGCCCCGCAAAATTATGCAAATGATGCAAAAATTATGAGGATGATTAAGTCAGAGAAAGATAGTATGAGGCTACAAGATGATCTAAACAAACTGAATAAATGGTCCAACAAATGGCTACTAAAGTTCAACCCGAGTAGATGTAAGGTAATTAAACTAGGCGGTGGAAATAGGAGGCCGGACACAGGATATCGAATGGGAGATGAAGTACTTCATAAAACGGGACTACATGAAACTTCTGTTCCTTCCCTTAGTATCCATCGTGAAATTCAATCGGGAATCTCACTATGGATACTAAAGGAAGGAGGAATTTCTACAATCGACTGTAGAAAGTTTGGGCAGCGTGCAGACCTGGCACTCACTGAGCCCGTCAGAGCAGACACCACAGCTGCCCAACAACTGCAGTAAAGATATGTTGTTAAAAATTTCGCTATCTGGAACAAGAAGTTCCAAGTAGCACGGGCTATGGTGAGCCCGTAGTGGATGACAGTAAAGATAGTACAGGTGGGTCAAACTACCACTACAGTTAGCAGAGAAAAATATCTTAGGGTGAATGTCAGGTGAAATACAGGTAGTAGTCACCTAGAGGTCTCTAAAGTTAAACATGTATTAAGGTATAGTGAGTATATCTATGTATTAATGCTTAGGAAATATACCTTAATGTGTTAATGTATATGAAGTATACCTAGGCATGTATTTATGTATAGGAATTATACCTAGACATGTATTATTATATAGGAAGTATACATTATTATATATATTAATGTATAGGAAGCATATCTATGGATGTATTAATGTATAGGAAGCATATATATGGATGTATTAATGTATAGAAAGTATACCTAAGCATGTAATAACAGAGTGCATAGCATACCTAGGCATGTATTAATGTGAACGCGGGTATGCATTAATTCCCATTCATATATAATATGTAATTAGCACATATACATGCTTGTATCAAGTTATTAAACATTAAATATCGGTTCAAGATCAATGTCCTACAACAAGTTTACGTGCGCAGATGTGCTGTGCTAATTCATCCAGTTTAACTAATTTATAATAATCGGCTTACACCAATTACTTATCTCAAACCAATAATTATTAGTCGAGGTTAACAGCGGTCAGCTGCTGAAAATAACCACCACCAGCTGATGACTGTAAACAATGACCAGCTGACGACTGTAAACAAAGATCAGCTGGCGCCTGTAAACATTAATCAGCTGACCCTATTAAAAACAGCACTAATCCATCCCACCACCGTTAAAGCCTCCCTCTCAACCACCACCACACTCATTATCATCCTGATCTTCTATCCTCCTCTTCTCCTCTTCCTCTTCCTCCTCCTCTTCCCCCCCCCCCCCCACCCCGTTCTGACCTTCCCACATCTCCCGTGTGAACAACTGCCGCACCTTTCATTCTTCTTCATTTTTTAGGAGTTCAGGGTGAATGAGATCAATGGTTGGCGTTCCTTTACTCAGGCCACGGCAATGGCGATTTGAAAAGCTGGAGAAATGCCCGCGCTGCTGGGAGTATGGGGCAAGGCACAGGTAAAGAAGGGAGGGAGGGGAAAGGTGGTTGGGAGGGATGCTGGAAGGGAAAAGGGAAGCGGAGAGGGAGAGAGAGGATGAAAAGGGATGGGGGATGAGAGAGGAGGTCTGTAGAAAAGTGAGACATATGATTTGGAATATAAAACTAAGGATGGGGAGACAGAGCGGGGGAGGGGGGGGGGGTTGATGAGAGGGAAGAGGGGGGAGAGGGTTGGGGCGTGAAAGAGGGAGAGTGAGGCAAGAGGGGAGGATGGGGGAGAGGGAAGGAGGATGAGGGAAGAGTGGGGGAGGACGGGAGGATGAGGGAAGAGGGTGGGGAGATGGGAGGGGAAATAAAAATGGGAGGAATGGGGTCGAGGGAAAAACAATCCCGGGCACCGCCGGGTACCGCTCCTATTGCATATTAGAGTAGCAGCTTATAGGGTACTTTACAGGGTACCATGGTACACACTACACAGGGTACCATGGTACACACTACACAAGGTACCATGGTACACAGTTCACAGGGTACCATGGTACACACTTCACAGAGTACCACGGTACACACTACACAGGGTACCACGGTACACACTACACAGGGTACCACGGCACACTACACAGGGTACCATGGTACACACTACACTGGGTACCATGGTACACACTACACAGGGTACCATGGTACACACTACACAGGGTACCATGGTACACAGTTCACAGGGTACCATGGTACACACTTCACAGAGTACCACGGTACACACTACACAGGGTACCACGGTACACACTACACAGGGTACCACGGTACACACTACACAGGGTACCACGGCACACTACACAGGGTACCATGGTACACACTACACTGGGTACCAGGGTACACCACAACACAACTTACCATAGTTTACAAGGAATGAATCTTCTGTGTAATATTAGGTTCCATTCTACTTGAGAATGAAGATGAAAAAATTACGCTTTAAAGTGAATTGTGCATATTTAACGAGCCTGAGGCGTTTCGCTAAGCTACTACTTAGCATATTCAGTTGCCAAGTTGTAATTTGGCCATACAGACGATACAAGACACTATCACATGCTATCACTCTCTCGTATGTTCCTTTATCGTGCCTCTACTTCCTCAGCAACACCTCCTACTTCCCCAAGACGCCCCCCAGCAAGGACTCCCCCAAGACGCCCCCCAGCAAGGACTTCCCCAAGACGCCCCCCAGCAAGGACTTCCCCAAGACGCCCCCCAGCAAGGACTCCCCCAAGACGCCCCCCAGCAAGGACTCCCCCAAGACGCCCCCCCCAGCAAGGACTTCCCGAAGACGCCCCCCAGCAAGGACTTCCCCAAGACGCCCCCCAGCAAGGACTTCCCCAAGACGCCCCCCAGCAAGGACTTCCCCAAGACGCCCCCCAGCAAGGACTTCCCCAAGACGCCCCCCAGCAAGGACTTCCCCAAGACGCCCCCCAGCAAGGACTTCCCCAAGACGCCCCCCAGCAAGGACTTCCCCAAGACGCCCCCCAGCAAGGACTTCCCCAAGACGCCCCCCAGCAAGGACTTCCCCAAGACGCCCCCCAGCAAGGACTTCCCCAAGACGCCCCCCAGCAAGGACTCCCCCAAGACGCCCCCCAGCAAGGACTCCTCCAAGACGCCCCCCAGCAAGGACTCCTCCAAGACGCCCCCCAGCAAGGACTCCTCCAAGACGCCCCCCAGCAAGGACTCCCCCAAGACGCCCCCCAGCAAGGACTCCCCCAAGACGCCCCCCAGCAAGGACTTCCCCAAGACGCCCCCCAGCAAGGACTTCCCCAAGACGCCCCCCAGCAAGGACTCCCCCAAGACGCCCCCCAGCAAGGACTCCTCCAAGACGCCCCCCAGCAAGGACTCCCCCAAGACGCCCCCCAGCAAGGACTTCCCCAAGACGCCCCCCAGCAAGGACTTCCCCAAGACGCCCCCCAGCAAGGACTTCCCCAAGACGCCCCCCAGCAAGGACTCCCCCAAGACGCCCCCCCAGCAAGGACTTCCCGAAGACGCCCCCCAGCAAGGACTTCCCCAAGACGCCCCCCAGCAAGGACTTCCCCAAGACGCCCCCCAGCAAGGACTTCCCCAAGACGCCCCCCAGCAAGGACTTCCCCAAGACGCCCCCCAGCAAGGACTTCCCCAAGACGCCCCCCAGCAAGGACTTCCCCAAGACGCCCCCCAGCAAGGACTTCCCCAAGACGCCCCCCAGCAAGGACTCCCCCAAGACGCCCCCCAGCAAGGACTCCTCCAAGACGCCCCCCAGCAAGGACTCCTCCAAGACGCCCCCCAGCAAGGACTTCCCCAAGACGCCCCCCAGCAAGGACTCCCCCAAGACGCTCCCCAGCAAGGACTCCCCCAAGACGCCCCCCAGCAAGGACTCCTCCAAGACGCCCCCCAGCAAGGACTCCTCCAAGACGCCCCCCAGCAAGGACTTCCCCAAGACGCCCCCCAGCAAGGACTCCCCCAAGACGCCCCCCAGCAAGGACTCCCCCAAGACGCCCCCCAGCAAGGACTCCCCCAAGACGCCCCCAGCAAGGACTCCCCCAAGACGCCCCCCAGCAAGGACTCCCCCAAGACGCCCCCCAGCAAGGACTCCCCCAAGACGCCCCCCAGCAAGGACTCCCCCAAGACGCTGCGTCCCACTAAAGAACAGTTCGGGGAGCCCCAGAAGTCCCCCCCCCCCGGGAGAAAAACAAGTCGACTACCCTCCGCTGCCGTCGGAATAACGACACCTTAATGAGGTCATTCCTCGTATCATCCCGGGGAATCATTAAGCACTAAGACATTCCCCGAGGCGGACGCCTCTAAGGAGGGACGTTAGGGGTCCCGGGCGCCGCTCCCGCCAGCCATTTCTTCCTCCTCATTACCTGCTGAGAATAGCTCCAATTTGGTAACTAATGGCACTCATAATGACCTCAATAATATTCCACAGTAATAACCTCATGAGGCATTCATCTCCTCCCCCTCATACTCCCTCACCCGCCCCGGCCAGGCCAGGCCAGGCCAGGCCAGGCCGCCCCGCTCGGCCCGCCTCGCCCAGCCGGAGTGCCCCAAGGGGAGGAGAAGAAACAGGAGGGGAGGGAAGGGAGCATGCCCCTCCACGCTCTCACTCCTCACCTAGACCCCCCCACGCTCTCACTCCTCACCTAGACCCCCCCACGCTCTCACTCCTCACCTAGACCCCCCCACGCTCTCACTCCTCACCTAGACCCCCCCCACGCTCTCACTCCTCACCTAGACCCCCCCCCACGCTCTCACTCCTCACCTAGACCCCCCCCACGCTCTCACTCCTCACCTAGACCCCCCCCACGCTCTCACTCCTCACCCTAGACCCCCCCCCACGCTCTCACTCCTCACCTAGACCCCCCCCAACGCTCAAACTCCTCACCTAGACCCCCCCCACGCTCTCACTCCTCACCTAGACCCCTCCACGCTCTCACTCCTCACCTAGACCCCCCCACGCTCTCACTCCTCACCTAGACCCCCCCCACGCTCTCACTCCTCACCTAGACCCCCCCCACGCTCTCACTCCTCACCTAGACCCCTCCACGCTCTCACTCCTCACCTAGACCCCCCCCACGCTCTCACTCCTCACCTAGACCCCCTCCACGCTCTCACTCCTCACCTAGACCCCCCCACGCTCTCACTCCTCACCTAGACCCCCCCCACGCTCTCACTCCTCACCTAGACCCCCCTCCCACGCTCTCACTCCTCACCTAGACCCCCCCACGCTCTCACTCCTCACCTAGACCCCTCCACGCTCTCACTCCTCACCTAGACCCCCCCACGCTCTCACTCCTCATCTAGACCCCCCCCCACGCTCTCACTCCTCACCTAGACCTCCCCACGCTCTCACTCCTCACCTAGACCTCCCCACGCTCTCACTCCTCACCTAGACCCCCTCACACTCCTCTAGCACTAGGTTCCTCCCCCCCCAGCCCCAGGCTCCCTCCAAATCCCAGGATCCCCCCCCCAAGTCCCTGGATCCCATTCCCCCCCCCAACTCCAGGATCCCCCAGCCCCAGGCTCTTCCCCCGAGCCCCATGCTCCGACCCCAGCTCCAGGCTCCCCCCCCAGCTCCAGGCTCGCCCCCCAGCCCCAGGCTCTCCCCCCCAGCCCCAGGCTCTCCCCCCTAGCTCCAGGCTCGCCCCCCCAGCTCCAGGCTCGCCCCCCCCAGCCCCAGGCTCGCCCCCCCCAGCTCTAGGCTCGCCCCCCCCCAGCTCCAGGCTCGCCCCCCCCCAGCTCCAGGCTTGCCCCCCCCCCAGCTCTAGGCTCGCCCTCCCCCCAGCTCTAGGCTCGCCCTCCCCCCAGCTCCAGGCTCGCCCCCCCCAGCTCCAGGCTCGCCCCCCCCAGCTCCATGCTCCCCCCCCAGCTCCAGGCTCGACCCCCCCCAGCTCCAGGCTCGCCCCCCCTAGCCCCAGGCTCGCCACCCCCCCCTAGCCCCAGGCTCCCCCCCCCCAGCCCCAGGCTCGCCACCCCCCCTAGCCCCAGGCTCCCCCCCCCAGCCCCAGGCTTCCCCCCCCAGCCCCAGGCTCCCCCCCCCAGCCCCAGGCTCGCCCCCCCCAGCCCCAGGCTCGCGCCCCCCCAGCTCCATGCTCGCCCCCCCTGCTCCAGGCTCGCCCCCCCCCAGCCCCAGGCTCGCGCCCCCCTAGCTCCAGGCTCGCCCCCCCAGCTCCAGGCTCGCCCCCCCCCCAGCCCCAGGCTCCACCCAGCCCCAGGCTCGCCCCCCCCAGCCCCAGGCTCGCCCCCAGCCCCAGGCTCGCCCCCCAGCCCCAGGTTCGCCCCCCCAGCCCCAGGCAGAGGGGTGTGTCGGGTCATAACTCGGGGCCATCAAAGGCAGCTGGCACCCCGTCACACTAGCCATTGTCAACTCCTTTTTTATCGCGCGCCCTGGATACTATTTCTCCCTCATTCACGGCCATGTTGAGGCGCCCCGGCCAGCTACGGTGGCCCAGGAGGCGCTGTATGGGGGAGGGAGGGGGTCAGGGAGAGGGAGGGGGGGGGTCAGGGAGAGGGAGGGGGTCAGGGAGAGGGAGGGGGGGTCAGGGAGAGGGAGGGGGGTCAGGGAGAGGGAGGAGGGTCAGGGAGAGGGAGCGGGGTCAGGGAGAGGGAGGGGGGATCAGGGAGAGGGAGGGGGGGGTCAGGGAGAGAGGATCAGGGAGAGGGAGGGGGGGTTAGGGAGAGGGAGGGGGGTTAGGGAGAGGGAGGGGGGGTTAGGGAGAGGGAGGGGGGATCAGGGAGAGGGAGGGGGGGTCAGGGAGAGGGAGGGGGGTCAGGGAGAGGGAGGGGGGTCAGGGAGAGGGAGGGGGGTCAGGGAGAGGGAGTGGGGTCAGGGAAAGGGAGTGGGGGTCAGGGAAAGGGAGGGGGGTCAGGGAGGAGGAGGGCAGGGAGCATCCCCCCCCCCCCCGTGTTCTCAACACTGACACACTCATCATGTGAACACAAACTACACTAGTTTGTGTTCACACTACTGTTAGGTCGTTAGTGATGTATGAACACCTATTTAGTTCAACACTAACCCGTGTTCACGAACTTTGAACACTGCAGCTTCAGTTAATGAACTATGATGTATTTGTCAACAAGAATCATTATAATTTTGGTTATAATTGAATGCTAAGTTACTCTATTTAGTGAAGCAATTACATTCCTCCAATAACGAAACTTATTAACTACCAACATTAGTGAACAACGCGTGCCAGCACTTAGGTCGACACTGCCTTGTGCCTAAGTGCCACTTTTACAACTAGTGTTGACATGAATGTGAAAATTATTCACGTTTGACCACGGTAAATATTATTATTCCTACTTCAGGATTAGAAAATTTAACTTTATTCATTTTTCAACACTGTCAATATTATTCTTCCTGTGACTCACGTATAACTCCCACTTGACAGGTCCGCGGCCACCCTCAATATTACTCCTGCTTCTCTACAAATTATATTATTACTATTACGCGCTTATCTTTCATTTTTCCAATATTTATTTTCTAACCTTCCCTCCGCTGTTTTATCGCTTTTCCTGCGCTTATTTTCCCATTTATACAACGCTTATTTTCCCCCCTCCGCCCCCATCTTTCCTGCATTTATTTTTCCAATCTATCTCGCGCTTATTTTTTTCATCATTCCCGCGCTTTTCTTCCAACCTTCCCGCGCTTTTCTTCCAACCTTCCCGCGCTTTTCTTCCAGCCTTCCCGCGCTTTTCTTCCAGCCTTCCCGCGCTTTTCTTCCAGCCTTCCCGCGCTTTTCTTCCAGCCTTCCCGCGCTTTTCTTCCAGCCTTCCCGCGCTTTTCTTCCAGCCTTCCCGCGCTTTTCTTCCAGCCTTCCCGCGCTTTTCTTCCAGCCTTCCCGCGCTTTTCTTCCAGCCTTCCCGCGCTTTTCTTCCAGCCTTCCCGCGCTTTTCTTCCAGCCTTCCCGCGCTTTTCTTCCAGCCTTCCCGCGCTTTTCTTCCAGCCTTCCCGCGCTTTTCTTCCAGCCTTCCCGCGCTTTTCTTCCAGCCTTCCCGCGCTTTTCTTCCAGCTTTCCCGCGCTTTTCTTCCAACCTTCCCGCGCTTTTCTTCCAGCCTTCCCGCGCTTTTTCACGCTTCCCGCCATAACGTGGGCTTTGGGAGACTATCGGGAAATTGGACATATTTCCGGGACTAACCGACCTGACCCCAAACTTGCACCCCAGACACACGCCCAGAATGATGGAGGGGGGAGGGGGGGGTTGTTCTTTAAACTAAACGTTGTTTTTTAAGTACAGTAATAATTAGACTATTTTAGAATAGCACCGTTGAGATGGGCAGGTTCTTGGAAGAGATGAAGAGGAAGAGAGGAAGAGGTCCTGGTGGGAAAATGAGGAAAAGGTTTGTATGAGGAAATTTGAGGGGGGAGAGGGGGAGGGGGACAAGTGTCTAACGAGAGGGGGGAAAACAGAGAGGGGGAGACAGAGGGGAGAAGCACAGGGAGAGTTATGACAGCTTACCGACAAGGGAGGTTTTGTACAGGGTTGAGATATGGAAGGGGGATTTATGATGGAAGAGGTTGTGAAGGGAGAGTGGGTTGTGGAGGGAGAGGGTTGTGGAGGGAGGAAGGAAGAAATGAGAAAGGGGAAAAATTGAAAAGCAGAAGTGCATAATTTACATCATATTTGGGTGTCTCATGTATCTTCCTCACACCCCTCATGTATCATGTGTCCAGCTTCCTCACACCTCCCTACTATACTTAATGAGGAGGCGTCTTCATCCCGGCGCTACAACCAGCCTAAACTGTTATACTAACAACAGCGTATGAGGCTTCCAGCACCCCCCCCCCCTCCTTGTCTTGATCTTGGAAGCTGTTCAGATATTTGTCAGCTTAAAACTTGTTGTTTGTAAGAGTTTATTGGCCTCCGTTGATTGGTTCCCTGCCGTCCACTCCCGGGACCTTTCTTTGTACTCACCTAGATGTAATTATGGGGCTTGAGCTTCGGCTCTTTGGTCCCGCCTCTCAACTGCCAATAAACGGATATGCAGGTTCATGGGCTCTATCTTATCTACATTTGAAAGTCTGTATGCATTCTGCCTCCACCACATCATTTCCAAGTACATTACATTTGTTAACTACTATGATTCTAATGCTCCTGACATTGCTTTTGCTTCTGTTAAAGTCTATTAACCACCAATGAGTTTATATTCTAGTGAAAAGGCGTGAAGGAAAGGAGAAGGGGAGAGGTAAAGAGAACAGGAACAAGAGGAGAAAGTGGAAGA